CCATTTAGAGACACCCTCTGTTGCTTCAGATATATCCCAGCCCTATGTCATTGGGCTTCCTTCTCCACATGTGGGGACTGCCCTTGGGGCTCATCCACTGTTTCCTACATTTGCACATTCTGAAACCATGAACATCCTCTCACCATTCAAATCAGAGGTCAAAAGACAGATCTAGAGAAAATTACTGTCAAAGCTATGCCCAGTCTCCCTACTAGTCACTTGATTAACTTAATATCACTTATTGTACACCCAATGTTTACTTAACATGGTCCTCACAGTTGCAGATACAAACCCTCAAAGCCGCTCAAGTGAGCTCATCTGCCACTGTGCTTCACACTGGCCACAGCTGTGCCAATGGATCAGGGTAGGGCAAATGACAAATGGGTAAACTATACAGAGGTAAGGATGCATCAGTCGGAGCTACCAGGGACTATTTCCAAAAGATTAGCCTTTTAAATGTGCATCCCTCCTTATTCAGTCATATTGCCCTCTCTGGGGCCACTTACATATTCTCTTAAATACATTCAGACTTCAATTAAGTCCTTCTCTCTTCAGGGATTGGGTATAATGCTCTTTATTGATCCCAACAGTTCCAAATTTTCTTATTTTATTAAATACGTTTATAAGCAGATAGGGTGCAGATTAGTATAACATTAGTATTTTCCTTTTCTAAAATGAGAAGGAACATTGTTCATGTAAATCATACTTACAAAAATAAATTCACAGGTATCTCATACCTAAAAACAGTAGAATTTTATATAGTATATATCTATATATAAAATATATAAATATATTAAAATGTATATATGTATATTCAGATATATATAAAACAATGTATCATTTTCCAGGAAAGGTTCTTTAATAGACACATATATCCAGAATAATTCAAATACAGATCATAATTAGTCCCAGTGGTTCCTCATTAAAAAGGAAAGGAAAAGAAAGGGAAGACAAGGAAAGAGAAAGGAGGTCAGGGAAGAGAAGAGGAAAAAAGGAGTGCGCAGAGGAGGTGAGGGAAGGAGAGGGAAGGGAAAACGTTGCAAGACAGAAAATACAATGTCATCTGTAGAAAATCAAATTTGAGTGAGTAATTACTAATTTGTGTACTAACAGATAACATTATTGAGTGCTCATTATCTGCTGGCCTATGTATTATGTGCTCTACATGCATTATCTCATTTAATACTTACAACAATTTTATAGTTTTTTTTTTCATTGTAGAGAGAAGGTGACTCAGGCTTAGAAAGGTTAAGTAACTTGTCCAAGGTTACGCAGCTCTGCATTGGGATCCAATAGTACTGTCAGCTTCAATCTGTACTCTTTATATCTTCTCTCATGACTGTTAACAAATAGAGTGCACAAATAATAATCTACTGGATAATAAGTTCAACTGTGTCCTGCAGCCAGTGCTTGCCTAAGAAAATCAGCAAAAGTGAGACAATAAAGTCAACCAGTGCATCTAGATGGTGACTTGATTATCTTGTTTTTGTCCTGATTATAGGCTGTTGCCATTTTTGTGAGTCAAAATGGTTGAATATTGGCAATTTTATATAATTAAGTCTAATAAGTATGCCTATATGTATACATATATTTATCTATGCATACACACAAATTTATGAATTCATAATGATATTCAATGTTTATTTAGTATATATTGAATTTAAGAAACTATTTTAAATACTTTTATAATTTTACTGTCTTCCCATCAAACTTATGAGGTTGGTGCCATTATTTTCCTCATTTTATAAAAGAGGAAATTAAAGCTTGAAAAGTTTTATAACTTGCTAAAAGTCACATCAAAAGTGACAGAACCAGGGTCTGTTCCTTATTAGTCTGATTTTAGTACTAATTCTCTTGATCACAATGATATATCGATCCATATTTAATATATGTATTTCTATATGTTTGGGAAAAATCCATGCTAAGGTAAAGATTTTTGTTTTTTTGGTTTTAACTTTTTGCATGCTTCCTTCATATATCTCCTTTCATTTAATAGATCTTCCATATTTTTATTTGATATTTAAAGGGATGAAAGTTAAAACAGTTAAGTAACTAACTCAAAGTCACACAGTGATTAATGACTGGAGTAGAACTCAAATTTATCTTAGTATGATGCATGATAAACCCAAACTTATGGAAATTCTGATGCTTAATTGAGAAGTAGTTTACATAAAGAGAATAAAACCTATCTTGTCTTGCAAGCTAATTGCTAAAGATGTGCATCAGTGATACCCACTGTAGACTCATTAATCTTTTGTAGGAAGTTCAAGTCCCTCTGCTTTTCAGAGTTCCCACTAGTGATAGGAATATGTATGTCATTATTGACTTCTTCTTCTCCCTCATTCCCCAAATTCAATTATACATTTTAAAACTTAGCATGTCTTCTCCATCCCTTTCCTTTCTTTCTACCCTAGGTCCTTTCTTTCCCATGGATCATTGCTGTTACTTAGGTACTAATTTTCTGCTCCTGGTTTTGTCCCTTAAAATCCGTCCCCTTCACAACTATTTCAGAAATTTACTTAAAATACAAATTTATTCATAGTACTTCCTTTTTGAGAACCCTCATCAGATCCCCATCTACTATACCATGAAGTCTGAGTTTCCTAAGTAGAGCACATACGTTTTCGACAGTTCAACTTCTTTCTGACTCTCAGCCACCTCCTGTCACCTCTCCCAGACTCAATTTAGCATTTCCAGCACCACTGAACTTACATGCACTGCAGTTTCTGGCCGTGTTACATTTACTCAGATTATTCTCTACTGCATCATCATAATTATATTTATTTTTAAGACTTTATTTTTTAAGGCAGTTTTAGGTTCATAGCAAAATTACAGAGATTTTTCATATACCTCCTACCCTCACACATGCACAGCCTCTGCCATTTTCAACATCCCCCATCAGTGTTACATTTGTTACAATGAATATACATTGAACACATTATTATCACCCAAAGTCCATAGTTTATATTGGGGTTCACTCTTGGTGTTGTACTTTCTATGAGCTTTGACAAATGTATAATGACATGTACCCATCATTATATTATATGGTGTTTTTTTCACTGCCATAAAAGTCCTCACGGCTCCACCTATTCAGAACTCCATCCCTGGCAATTTCTGCCAACCATTGATCTTTTTACTGTCTTCACAGTTTTTACCTTTTCCAGGGTGTCATATAGTTGGATTTATACAGTATGCAGTCTTTTCATATTGCTGTCTTTGACTTAACAATATGCATTTAATGTTCCTTTATGTCTTTTCGTGGCTTGATAACTTACTTGTTTTTAGCACTATGTAATACTCCATTGTCTGGATGTACCACAGTTTATCTATTCATTCACCTACCAAAGGATATCTTTTTTGCTTCCACATTATGGCAATTATAAATAAAGCTGCTATACATGTCTATGTGCAGGTTTTTGTGTGGACATGTTTTTAACTTATTTGGGTAAATATCAAGAAGTATATAATTATTTGCTGGATCTCATGGTAAAAGTATGTTGAGTTTTGTAAGAAACCACTGAATTATCTTCCAAAGTGACTGTGCCATTTTTCAATTCCACCAGCAGCAGGTGAATGCTCCTCTTGCCCCACATCCTCTCCAGGATTTGGTGTTGTCAGTGATCCAGATTATGGCCATTCTAATAAATGTGTAGTAGTAATCTCATTGCCTTGATTTGCATTTCCCTGATGGCATATGATATAAAGTATCTTTCCATATGCTAATTTACCATCTGTATGTTTTTCGTGAGTTATCCATTAAGATCTTTGGCCCATTTTTGAGTTTACTTATTGTTGATTTTAGGAGTTCTTTGTACATTTTGGATAACTGTCTTTTTTCAGATGTGTCTTTCAGTCTGTGGGTTTGTCTTTTCAATTCTCCCAGTCTGTGGCTTCTTTTCTCATTGTCTTAACATTGTCTTTCAAAGAGAAGTTTACAATATTAATGAAGTTCAGTTTATCAATTATATATTTCATGGATTGCCTTTAGTGTTGTATTTTAAAAGTCATCACCATACCCAAAGTCATGCAGGTTTTTCTCATATGTTACCTTCTAGGATTTTTATAGCTTTGCATTTTACAATTAGGTCTTTGATCCACTTTGAGTTAATTTTTGTGAAGGGACTAAGGTCTGTGGCTAGATTCATTGTTTTTTTGCATGTAGATGACCAAGTATTTCAGCATAATTTGTTGAAAAGACTATCTTTGCTCCATTGTATTGCTTATGCTCCTTTGTCAAAAATGAGTTGACTATATTCATGTGGGTCTATTTCTGAGCTCTCTATTATGTTCCCTTAATATATTTGTCTATTATTTTGCCAATACCACACTGTTTTGATTACTACAGCTTTACACATATTTATTTTTTACAATACATTGTTGACATAGGTACCATATTGTTCCACTTGAGAACACTGTCAGGCTTGGGTTAACTTAGCTACTGTTTGGAGGTGAGGAGGGAAACACACTTTTTCATAGATATTTACACAGATGTACAATCTTCCCTTGATTTTATTTTCCTTTGATTAAAATCCTTCCTCTGCCATGTCTGTCTCATAAAATTATGTGCATAATCGATTTTCAATGATTCTGTATGACCAAACTTAGCAAACATACTGTTTGTCATGGAGGCAAACCATGGTAGCTGATTACCATTTTTAATGAGAGTCAGGGTTACAATACTTACCATTATCACACTTATTTTAAGCTGCAGGCCTTTACTCAGACCATGTTTCTCAGAGTCACTTCTCTTTTAGTATATGTGATTCTATTCTCAGTCCTAAGTGAGATGCCAGTCTTCCGTGTTCCTGGAGGAGTAAACCTTTGTCCTGACAGGTGCATGTACTTCAGATGTTTGTGTCTAACTTGAGTCACAACAGATTTTTCTCTCAAGAATTCCAGTATAGGAGCTGTCCTTATAAAGACTAATATACTCCATTTTTCTGTTTGTTGTAATTATTTTTACTGTTTCCCACACATGTTTTGTTTCTCTTTTCTACCAGGTTGTTAGCAACATGAGTACAGGGTCTGGATCTTACCCATTCAAGAGTGTATTCCCAGCACCCAATGCCTGGCATATAGTAAGTGCTCAATAAATTTTTAATGAATAAATTAATACATTTATAGACAAAACATTAAGTTGTTGTGAAGTCACAATAATCCTTTGGAAAGGTAATTACGTCAAGTAAAATTAAGTATCAGTTACTCTTATGAGATAATATTAGTCTGGGTTGTTGCGTTAGGATATTTCTATTAACTTCCACTTAAACAGAACAACCCACAGACCAGGGACAAACTATTCACTAAGAACTACTTGTTACTCCAATTCAAGTTGATTCAACTTATCAGGAAAAAGGTCCACACCCTACCAAAAGCACATGGCTTAATACGTCAAAATTTGTTGAGTTTTTTTTTAATTTTCAAAATCTTCTGACCTTAACGATGAATTTCCTCTAGAAGCAATATTTTCAGGGAACACTAAATTTTGCAAATACTTGTTTTAAGGAATTGAATCATGAAACTATGAGAACTGGCAATTCTGAAATCGTTAAGGCAGGCCAGCAGGCTAGAAACTCACACAGGAGTTAGTGCTGCAATCTTGAGGTAGAATTTTTTCTCCAAGAAACCTTAGTTTTTACTCCCAAGGTTTCAACTGATGGATGAGGCCCTGCATTATTAAGAAAAATCTCATTTACTTAAATTCAACTGATTGTACATGTTAACTATATATACAAAATACTTTCATAGCAGCACCTAGATTTTTGTTTGATTAAAGAACTGGGGGGGGCGGAGCAAGATGGCCGAATAGGAACAGCTCCAGTCTCCAACTCCCAGCGCGAGCGACACAGAAGACCAGTGATTTCTGCATTTTCAACTGAGGTACTGGGTTCATCTCACTGGGGAGTGCCGGATGATCCGTGCTGGTCAGCTGCTGCAGCCCGACCAGGGAGAGCTGAAGCAGGGCGAGGCATTGCCTCACCTGGGAAGCGCAAGGGGGAAGGGAATCCCTTTTCCTAGCCAGGGGAACTGAGACACACAACACCTGGAAAATCGGGTAACTCCCACCCCAATACTGCGCTTTAAGCAAACAGGCACACCAGGAGATCATATCCCACACCTGGCCTGGAGGGTCCCACACCCACGGAGCCTCCCTCATTGCTAGCACAGCAGTCTGTGATCTACCTGCAAGGCAGCAGTGAGGCTGGGGGAGGGGCGCCCGCCATTGCTGAGGCTTAAGTAGGTAAACAAAGCTGCTGGGAAGCTCGAGCTGGGTGGAGCTCACAGCAGCTCAAGGAAACCTGCCTGTCTCTGTAGACTCCACCTCTGGGGACAGGGCAATAACAAACACAGCCCAAACCTCTGCAGACGCAAACGACTCTGTCTGACAGCTTTGAAGAGAGCAGTGGATCTCCCAACACGGAGGTTGAGATCTGAGAAGGGACAGACTCCCTGCTCAAGTGGGTCCCTGACCCCTGAGTAGCCTAACTGGGAGACATCCCCCACTAGGGGCAGTCTGACACCCCACACCTCACAGGGTGGAGTACACTCCTGAGAGGAAGCTTCCAAAGCAAGAATCAGACAGGTACACTCGCTGTTCAGAAATATTCTATCTTCTGCAGCCTCTGCTGCTGATACCCAGGCAAACAGGATCTGGAGTGGACCTCAAGCAATCTCCAACAGACCTACAGCTGAGGGTCCTGACTGTTAGAAGGAAAACTATCAAACAGGAAGGACACCTACACCAAAACCCCATCAGTACATCACCATCATCAAAGACCAGAGGCAGATAAAACCACAAAGATGGGGAAAAAGCAGGGCAGAAAAGCTGGAAATTCAAAAAATAAGAGCGCATCTCCCCTGGCAAAGGAGCGCAGCTCATCGCCAGCAACGGATCAAAGCTGGACAGAGAATGACTTTGACGAGATGAGAGAAGAAGGCTTCAGTCCATCAAATTTCTCAGAGCTAAAGGAGGAATTACGTACCCAGCGCAAAGAAACTAAAAATCTTGAAAAAAAAGTGGAACAATTGATGGCTAGAGTAATTAATGCAGAGAAGGTCATAAACGAAATGAAAGAGATGAAAACCATGACACGAGAAATACGTGACAAATGCACAAGCTTCAGTAACCGACTCGATCAACTGGAAGAAAGAGTATCTGCGATTGAGGATCAAATGAATGAAATGAAGCGAGAAGAGAAACCAAAAGAAAAAGAAGAAAAAGAAATGAACAAAGCCTGCAAGAAGTATGGGATTATGTAAAAAGACCAAATCTACATCTGACTGGGGTGCCTGAAAGTGAGGGGGAAAATGGAACCAAGTTGGAAAACACTCTTCAGGATATCATCCAGGAGAACTTCCCCAACCTCGTAGGGCAGGCCAACATTCAAATCCAGGAAATACAGAGAACGCCACAAAGATACTCCTCGAGAAGAGCAACTCCAAGACACATAATTGCCAGATTCACCAAAGTTGAAATGAAGGAAAAAATCTTAAGGGCAGCCAGAGAGAAAGGTCGGGTTACCCACAAAGGGAAGCCCATCAGACTAACAGCAGATCTCTCGGCAGAAACTCTCCAAGCCAGAAGAGAGTGGGGGCCGATATTCAACATTCTTAAAGAAAAGAATTTTAAACCCAGAATTTCATATCCAGCCAAACTAAGTTCATAAGTGAAGGAGAAATAAAATCCTTTACAGATAAGCAAATGCTTAGAGATTTTGTCACCACTAGACCTGCCTTACAAGAGACCCTGAAGGAAGCACTAAAGATGGAAAGGAACAACCGGTACCAGCCATTGCAAAAACATGCCAAAATGTAAAGACCATCGAGGCTAGGAAGAAACTGTATCAACTAACGAGCAAAATAACCAGTTAATATCATAATGGCAGGATCAAGTTCACACATAACAATCTTAACCTTAAATGTAAATGGACTAAATCCTCCAATTAAAAGACACAGACTGGCAAACTGGATAAAGAGTCAAGACCCATCAGTCTGCTGTATTCAGGAGACCCATCTCACACGCAGAGGCATACATAGGCTCAAAATAAAGGGATGGAGGAAGATTTACCAAGCAAAAATGGAGAACAAAAAAAAGCGGGGGTTGCAATACTAGTCTCTGATAAAACAGACTTTAAACCATCAAAGATCAAAAGAGACAAAGAAGGCCACTACATAATGGTTAAGGGATCAATTCAACAGGAAGAGCTAACTATCCTAAATATATATGCACCCAATACAGGAGCACCCAGATTCATAAAGCAAGTCCTTAGAGACTTACAAAGAGACTTAGACTCCCATACAATAATAATGGGAGACTTCAACACTCCACTGTCAACATTAGACAGATCAACGAGACAGAAAGTTAACAAGGATATCCAGGAATTGAACTCATCTCTGCAGCAAGCAGACCTAATAGACATCTATAGAACTCTCCACCCCAAATCAACAGAATATACATTCTTCTCAGCACCACATCGTACTTACTCCAAAATCGACCACGTAATTGGAAGTAAAGCACTCCTCAGCAAATGTACAAGAACAGAAATTATAACAAACTGTCTCTCAGACCACAGTGCAATCAAACTAGAACTCAGGACTAAGAAACTCAATCAAAACCACTCAACTACATGGAAACTGAACAACCTGCTCCTGAATGACTACTGGGTACATAACGAAATGAAGGCAGAAATAAAGATGTTCTTTGAAACCAATGAGAACAAAGATACAACATACCAGAATCTCTGGGACACATTTAACGTAGTGTGTAGAGGGAAATTTATAGCACTAAATGCCCACAAGAGAAAGCAGGAAAGATCTAAAATTGACACTCTAACATCGCAATTAAAAGAACCAGAGAAGCAAGAGCAAACACATTCGAAAGCTAGCAGAAGGCTAGAAATAACTAAGATCAGAGCAGAACTGAAGGAGATAGAGACACAAAAAACTCTCCAAAAAATCAATGAATCCAGGAGTTGGTTTTTTGAAAAGATCAACAAAATTGACAGACCACTAGCAAGACTAATAAAGAAGAAAAGAGAGAAGAATCAAATCGACGCAATTAAAAATGATAAAGGGGATATCACCACCGACCCCACAGAAATACAAACTACCATCAGAGAATACTATAAACACCTCTACGCAAATAAACTGGAAAATCTAGAAGAAATGGATAATTTCCTGGACACTTACACTCTTCCAAGACTAAACCAGGAAGAAGTTGAATCCCTCAATAGACCAATAGCAGGCTCTGAAATTGAGGCAATAATTAATAGCCTACCAACCAAAAATGTCCAGGACCAGATGGATTCACAGCTGAATTCTACCAGAGATACAAGGAGGAGTTGGTACCATTCCTTCTGAAACTATTCCAATCAATAGAAAAAGAGGGAATCCTCCCTAACTCATTTTATGAGGCCAACATCATCCTGATACCAAAGCCTGGCAGAGACACAACAAAAAAAGAGAATTTTAGACCAATATCCCTGATGAACATCGATGCAAAAATCCTCAATAAAATACTGGCAAACCGGATTCAGCAACACATCAAAAAGCTTATCCACCATGATCAAGTGGGCTTCATCCCTGGGATGCAAGGCTGGTTCAACATTCGCAAATCAATAAACATAATCCAGCATATAAACAGAACCAAAGACAAGAACCACATGATTATCTCAATAGATGCAGAAAAGGCTTTTGACAAAATTCAACAGCCCTTCATACTAAAAACGCTCAATAAATTCGGTATTGATGGAACGTACCTCAAAATAATAACAGCTATTTATGACAAACCCACAGCCAATATCATACTGAATGGGCAAAAACTGGAAGCATTCCCTTTGAAAACTGGCACAAGACAGGGATGCCCTCTCTCACCACTCCTATTCAACATAGTGTTGGAAGTTCTGGCTAGGGCAATTAGGCAAGAGAAAGAAATCAAGGGTATTCAGTTAGGAAAAGAAGAAGTCAAACTGTCCCTGTTTGCAGATGACATGATTGTATATTTAGAAAACCCCATTGTCTCAGCCCAAAATCTCCTTAAGCTGATAAGCAACTTCAGCAAAGTCTCAGGATACAAAATTAA